CCCAGTCCCCCCGGGGTGCTTTCCCGCCCCCCGGGGGGGCTGTCAGCCGCCTCTCTCAGGAGCCACAGGGCATGCAGGGTCTCCTCCCCGTTGGTGCCCACGTAGCACTGGCCCAGGAAGGCAGTCATCTGGGCTGTCTCCGTGCCTAGAAGGGTCCAAGGTGGCATGAGTCGGGGTGGTGAGGCATGAAGCCACCCCCCCTGCGTCCCGCTGGCATCCCCACTGCAGAGTGATGGCCCCCTCCTGCCTACCTCGGAGCCGCCAGCGCACGGTGAAGGAGAAGGTGGGCTGCGGGACCAGCCCCGCATCCTGCTGGGACCCCTCCAGTGGCGAGGTGAGGATTTCGGAGTTGCTGGCTGCAGGCCCCGGCAGGTAGGAACCGGAGAAGCTGCCGTCCTTGCTGAGGACGGAGATGACCATCCGGCAGCCGGTGTCGCTCCTCCACGACCCAGAGAGGAGGCACTGCAAGGCCAGGGATGTGGCTTCGGGTGCCCAGCCAGGCAGGGAGGGCATCCTGCTCCCGCCCCACCACTCTGGCTGTGCCTGGGGATGCCTGCAGCACTGGGGGAAGCGCCACAGACCCTTTGTGAAGCTGGTGCCACCGGCACAGCCACCTCAGCGCGAGCATTGCACTGATTGCCTTCAGCCCAGCTGCTGCTCTGGGCTGTTTGCTGCTGCCACCCAGGGAGAGCAGGTCCTCCTCATGCTAAAGCAGAGGGTGTGCTGCTTTTCTTTCATGCTTGGTGGGAACCTGGGGTTTCTCTGGAGCATGGCTCCATTTGTCTGTCTCTGGATGGATTCCCACAGTGAGGAGCATCCTTGCGGGAACAGTCCCTCCCTCCCTGCCGCTCCGCAGCTTCCCTCAGCACTGCATAGTGCTGGTCCCACCAGCTCTGGCAGCCTGGCCCTGGCTCCCTGCTGAGCACCGCAGCCCCAGCCCAGGCCTTTGGGGTCTAGCAGGGTGCCAGCGCCACATCCCCATCGCCACCCGTCACCGTACCTTCCTCTCCGCAGGGGTGACGCCCACCGCCAGGGCCAGGGTGAGGACCAGGGCAAAGGCACCGCTCCCCATGGCCGCCCGCTCCCCATGGCCGCGGGGCTGCGAAACACCCGGCACAGCTCCCTCCGGGCGCACCCCGGCCCCCTTTATAGGGCTCTAATAAGTACCTTCCTCTCCGCAGGGGTGACGCCCACCGCCAGGGCCAGGGTGAGGACCAGGGCAAAGGCACCGCTCCCCATGGCCGCGGAGCTGCGAAACACCCGGCACAGCTCCCTCCGGGCCCCGCACCCCGGCCCCCTTTATAGGGCTGTAACTGGAGCCCTGCAGGCACCGGGCTGGCAGCCGCGGGGTGGGTGGCCGGGTGGCAGGGCGCCCGGGACAGGACAGGCAAGGCGAGGAGGTCTGCGTGACCTGGGCAGTGCCGGAGGAACGTGGGGATGAGCACGGCTGTGGAGAGAGGCGGGGGCGCGGGCTTTTTTTAATGCCCTTATAGCAGCCTGGAAAGCATCAACTACCTTCCTTGGGAATCTGCCTCTTGTGCATGCAGGCTGGAAATTATTACCTGTTTAAACATTTAACTGCTCCCTGCTTTGCTGGTGCCGCTGCCTGACCAGGGTGTCACCCACGTGGTGCCAGGGCATCCCTGGCAGAAGCCAAGCTGCAGCGGCTGCAGCGGCTACAGCACCGAAGGAAGGCTCGCCCTGCCTTCTGCTTTAGCATTTAACATTTCCCCAGCATCTTCTGGATATCAGCTGCTAATTTTGCTGCTGTTGCTTTTACAAGACTTAGAGGAAGAAGTAACCACAGAGGGGCACTGGGGTCCAAGCGAGTGTGTTTGCTGAACACACCCAGCATGCTAACCAGCCTTGTATTTGCACCTCTTCCTTATATTTGCTGCTCTTAGGGGCTTTGGATGTACATAACACAGCATGCACTGTGCCTGCGTTCCTCAGCTGTTTCTTTGCTCGCTGCAGTGCCTGGAGCAGGCATGGGGCTGCAGGCAACTGAAAATTAAGGTGACATTCAGCTGCATAAACACATGCTGTTTCCAGGTCAGCAGTGTCTGGGGCACTGGACGGCAGCAGGGCTGCAGTGCACGCACTGGGGGTAGGGGAGTCCCACCCTGGGGTGGCACCGCTCAGTGCCCGCCACGAGCCCCAGCACACCCTGGGACCCCGCTGCTGCTGCTGCTGCTGCTCAGCGCCTCTCCCTCTGGTCCGGGTGGCCCCAAAGGCTGGGGCGAGTTGAAACCACCCCTCTCCTAATACATCACTGCTCCTTGTTGCCTTCAACAGTCGCAAACTGACGGGCTTATCATAGGGACCTAAAAAATCCCCCCCGGGAGATCTCTCACTCTTGCCCTGGATGCCACGCTCCATCTTTTTGGCCTGACACCAGCCACTGCCTTTCTGTGCTGTTTGGCAGGGACAAGCCGCCCTGTTTGAGGTGCCAGGGAGGTGGCAGCCACCACTCCACGTCACGGCAGCATGCACCGGCCTCGCTGGGGCTGGGCCAGGCTCAACGGACTGTACGGCTAGTGTGCTGGCATCCTTGGGGCTGGGTTATATTTGTAACGCTTCTGCAAGAGGCTTCGTCTTCACCCATGGACCTGCCAAAAACTTTGCATCGAAAGGGCTGACTAAGCTTGGCAGTTGTCCACAGAGGCAGATAGAGTGGTACTGCCGAAATGCAGTGGCAGAGAGTGGTAAAATCCCTGGTTGTAACCCAGGGGGATGGGATGGGATGGGATGGGATGGGATGGGATATGACGGAATACAATGGGATGTGATGGGATGCGATGGGATGCGATGGGATGTGATGGGATATGATGGGATTGGGGCTCTAACTGTGCACATTTTACTTCGGGTGCCGTGCAGCATGAAGGAAGCGCTTTACCAATATCTCACATCTACCGATACCGTTACCTCCATCACCCAGCCCTACGGAGCACGGAGTCCTGGGACTGGAAAGGCGTCTGGTGGGGATGGGTATGAAGGCACTGCAAGGAAGGCAGCTGGATTTGGGATGCTGATGCCACCTCTGCCACCGGCAGGCAGGTGGGGAGTGGCGGTGCAAGGTGGAAGTTCGGGTTAGGATGAGGTGGGAAATGAGCCAGGGAGCTGGATGGCGGGAATCAGGGAGGGATCCAGATGTCCCTGGGGAAGGGCAGTGGTGAGCCCTCACCTCTGCAGGTGTACCTGTGGGGACAGAAGCTGCCTCAGAGGGGGAGCGAGGGCAGTTTTTTAAAAAAGATGACTACAGCTGACATGATTTTTAAATTTTATTTTTATGTGAGAGGCTGGTTTTGCTTGCCTTGGGGGGGCCGGCCTGCAGCCGGAGCATGCCATCATGGGGCAGGCGAAGATGCATCCTCACAGGACGGGGACAAGCTCAACAGGATCTTTCCTTTTGGGGCGCGTTTGCGTGTGAAGACATTTCTGCCCACCCTGTGGGAAGCAGAGAGTTCCTGTGGGACAACCCACAGACACCGCCCACTCAGGGCTGCCAGTGCCAGCAGGTGACAGGGGTGTCCCTAAATGCCCCCCAACTTGCCTTGAGCAGCTGCCGGATGCCCCTGGCCAGGGCAAGCCCCTTGCCAGGAGGCATTGGCATCCCCGCTGCAAACCCACGCTGGGGCGTTCCCAGGGGTGGTCCCCTCATCCAGGGGGATGCTCATCCTCGGGAGTCCTAGGTAGAACCCCTCTGTGGGGCTGCTGTCCCCCACATCCCCCCACTACCTCGTGGCTTTCCAGTCCTCCTCGAGGGACCCAACGGCTTCACGCAGCAGCCACATGGTGGTCAGTGTCTCCTTCCCGGCCTCATCCACGAAACATTGCCCCGCAAAGGCAGTGGTAGCATCTGGGGGAAGCGCTTGGTGGGGGGTTGGTGGGGACGGTACCCACACTCGCTGGCTGCTTCCCCCTCCCCGCGGTCCTCCCGGCCGCAGCTGTGTTCCCACTCCGACGGCCACATGCCCACCCAACCCACGCCGGGGGGACCTGCCCTTCCCCAGTGGCTCCCTTGGGCGAGGCAGGCTCTGCGGCACCGCATCCCCCCTGCCCTAACAGGGTCCAGACCCGCCACAGTCACCTCAGGCTGCCCGGCAGGGATGGGTGCAAGGGGGCTGGGCAAGGAGGGGCTGTCCTGTGCGAGTCCAGCGTTGCCCATTAGCCCCATGCTGGGCAGGCGCCACTGCCTCCCTCTGCTTAGCTGCACCAAAGCATCATGCAGCAGACTTCCCGGCAGAGGAAAAATCCTGCTGGCTGCCTGCGTGGCTCCCGGTGCCCCCGCGGTGCCGTCCCCAGGTGTCCCCCAGCACTTACTGGAGAATTTGTCCCAGCGCACGGTGAAGGCGAAGGTGGGCCAGCCCCCCTCACTGGGCTGCTGCTGGGCTCCCTTCAGGGGGGAGGTGCGGGCGCAGCCACCAGCAAGGGTGACCCGCGTGAGGTATTTCCCCTGGAAGTCCCCGTCGTCCCTCACCGCTGAAATCTCCATCAGAGAGTCCTGCTCATTCCTCCACAGCCCGCTGAGCTGGCACTGAAGGGACACGGCCACGGGCCCTCTGCCCCTGCGCATGGTGCAGAGGGGGACCCCATCCCTCCCACCGCCCCACAGCCGGAGCCACAAGCCCCGCTGTGAGTGCGACTGTGGGGCACGACTCTCCCTGTTCCCAGTTTGGGGAAATGCTCCCCCAGGTGCTGCTGGCTGCTGAGCAGATGGTACAGCAAGGCCAGCGTGTCCCGGCCCGTCAGCATGCATGGTACGCCCAGAGACAGACCCCCATGGGAGGGGGTGCCCTGTGCATGGTGCCCCTGAGCACAGACCCCGTGGGAGGGAATGCCCTGTGCATGGTGCCTCTGTGGGAGCGAAGCTTTGTGGAGGTGGTACCAGGTGGCTGGGCGTGACCCAGAGATACCCTGCCCATTGCCTGGACTAGGTGCTTGTCCCAGCCTAAAATGGCATTTAAGAGAAAACTCCTGGCTGCCCACGCTGCATCCCAGTGCCATGTCTGCCACATCCCCATCATCACCTGTCCCCGTACCTTCTTCTCCACAGGGGTGACCCACGCCACCAGGGCCAGGGCAAGGACCAGGGTGAAAGCGCTGCTCCCCATGGCTGCAGGGCTGCGAAGTGCCCGGCACGGCTCCCTCCCAGCCCTGTGCCCTGGTCCCCTTTATAGGGCTGTAATTGGAGCCCTGCAGGCACCGGGCTAGCAGCCGTGGGGTGGGTGGCCTGGTGGCAGGGCGCCCGGGACAGGCGAGGTGAGGAGGTCTGTGTGACCTGGGCAGTGCTGGAGGAATGCGAGGGTGAGCACAGCTGTGGAGAGAGGTGGGGGTGCAGGGATGGTTTGCACATCCATGATCCAGGAGGCTCTGCCAGCCCATTCCTTGCTCCGCGATGGAATCCTTGGGGTGGGCACAGCCTGGCACCGCCCCACTGCCCCGTCCCAGTGCTGTCACCCAAACAGCACTGCAGCAAGCACAGCCCGACCAGCTCTTCTCTGCTGCACTGAAGGGTGGTGTGTCTGCCCATGGGAGTTTGTCCTCGTGGCAGTCCCCTCCTGCATTACAAGTTTCTGCTGTTGTTTCTAAGCTGTTTTTTCTCCTGGCTGTGCTGGGCTTTCCCTGGGTCTGGGAGCTGTGACTGTCACTGCAGTGGGAGCTCTTGGGCGCCCCGGAATTAATCCCTCTTGTCAGTGCAGAAGGGCTTTTCTGGAAGACATGTAGATATAGAATTTGCTTGTCCCCGTGGAGGGGATGCCCTGTGCATGGTGCTCCCATGCACAGACCCCATGGGAGGCGATGCTGCGTGCATGGTGCTTTGAGTCTGGGCAGGGTACAGCTACACGGCAGAGCCCTGTCTGAGCCCTCCCAAGGAGTCCCTAATGGCCCAAGACTGTAACAAGGATGGGCAGGTGGGCAGGGGTTCTTGGACCACCTGGTTTTTACACAGTGACATGGCACAGCCACCTCCCCCAAGATATCTCTCTAACCAGGTGAACATGTCACTGCTGATGCTGCAGGGGAAGACAGAGCTGGCACCTGGCTGTGTCCAGTTCAGGAGGGATCTCTCTGGCCCCTGCCCTGCACAGGAGATGAGCATCTGCTTTGAGCATCCTCCAGAGACACATCTGCCCCAGGCTTGAAGACACCAGGAGGGCCACTCTCCTCTTCCCAGGGAGCAGGATGTGGTGATGCCCATGTGCAAATTGCACGTTGTTTTTAATTATAAAATTATAGTAGCTGCCTTCAGCTCCCATCCCAGGGACTTGCTCCAAAAGCCCTTGGGGTCCCGGCACCAATCTCCCTTGCTTGCTGCCCAGCTGGCTTCCAGCACTGGCACCCACCCCCCAGGTCTCAGCGCTCCCCCCGGGGGTCTCCATGCTGCACCCATGAGTGCAGCCCCAGCACGGAGCAGGGATGGAGAAGTGCCCAGCAGCCCTGCTCTGCCCGGGGCACACCCAGTGGCTTTCCAGTCATCCTCAAGGCTGTCAGCCTCGTCTTGCACAATCCACGCAGTCCTCAGTATTTCCTTCCCGTCCTTTCCACGAAGCACTGGCCCATGGAGGCGGTGGTGGAGACTGCAGGGAAGGGGTGGGAGGTGGGAGAGAGCGCTGGGATGGGGTTTTCCCTCTGTTAGGCAGCCAGCTTGCCAGTTTGGGAGCAGAAAAGGCTGCTTGTGGGTGGGTGATGTTTCCCTCCCCAGCCTCCTGTCCTGCTGGGACCAGGGACATGGCACTGGACAGGCGTGGGATATGCAGGATGTGGGGGGATGAGCCCAGCTGAGCCTACATCCAGCCCTGCCTCACTTCGTCCTGGGCAGGACCTGCCTGGAGAAGAACCAGAGGTGGGGACCGGAAGATGCCACCAGCCATGCAGCTCTGGAGCCAAGGATGGGGGAGCATCAGGGACACCACAGGAGGGCAGAGGACCATCAAGGACACTGCAGGGGAGGGCTGAAGAGCATCAAGGACATCACAGGGGGGGCAGGGGAGGTCTGGGGACACCGCAGGGAGGGCAGGGGAGGTCTGGGGACACTGCTGGGAGGCTGGGAAAGGAGAAGCACCTGAAAAGCTCCAGTTGACGGTGAAGCCAAAGGTGGGCTGGCTCTTCTGGTTCGTGTGGTGCTGGGATCCCTGCAGCGGTGACACCTGGATCTCATTTGTGGTGGCAGTCACGGCCGTGTGGTAGGAGCCAGCGAAGTCGCCTTTTTCGTTCATGGCCCCGATGGTCATGTTGGAGCCCAGGTCATTCATCCAGCGCCCGGTCAGCATGCACTGGAGCGGAGGGGACTCAGCGTTGGTGCTGCAGCACAGCCTGGGCGCAGGCAGGGCGGCAGGAATGGGCACCCC